GCCCCCTCCCCAGCATCCCCGCCCCCGCCGCTCCCCTTCGCCTCCCAGTCTGTGGAGACCGCGAGCGTGGAAAATCCCCAGACAGGGAGTGTAAATGCTTGTTCTTTGTAAATGAAGAACATAATTAACATTAAATTAAGGTAATACAAATGAAGACAACACAGAGCCTGACAGGATGAGTGTTTGGGGAGGCAGTAGAGAGAAGTGATTCATATTTTTAATTTACTGTACAAATAGACTAGCAGGGCTGGGGGGAAAAGGGCCATCCAAGTGGAGTGGGGATTTTTTTTTTTTTTTTTTTTTTTCCCACTGTTGTTTTGCTGTGCTTTAAGCACACAATGACTATTAAAGTCAACTGCCCATATAATAGGACATCTCCTACATGACTGCTCTCCGAGAGGCAGCTTGCTGTAGCAATAAATTCTGGGAGTGCCATCTGCTGGTGCGCACCCTCCGCCGGGCACCCTTGCCTCGGCCACCCCCATGCTGGGCACTCTCATCTGGGTCACCCCAGTGCCAGGCACCCTTGCCTGGGTCACCCCGATGCCAGGCACCTGCACCTGGGTCACCCCAATATCATGCACCCTTGCCTGGGCCACCCCGATGCCAGGCACCCGCACCCTGACCAGCCCCAGCCCCAAGATCTGCTCCTACAAAGTGCCAGGCATGAACCTGCTGGCAGTAATACAAAATTATTAATTTTTTTCTATAGGGTAACAAACACCTTTTTTTTTTAATTTTTATTTTCCTCCCCAAATATGCCCTTAAATTGTTCATCTTCTATCTTCTTTTAAGAGGTTGAGGGGGTCTGGTTGATGCTGAGGAAGTACTTTAGGCTTTTAAAAGAAACAAATCACTGTTCTCCACCCCTCTGAAGGGCTGGGTTTGTGTTGAGTGCCCGTTGCCCAGAACGCAGTAAAAAAAAATCACCCATTTTAGGGTTTTTACCTGCAGAAAGACACTTGACCAGAATCTGTGTGAAATGCAGGCTCGACTGGAGCCAGCTCTGCACTTCGAGGCGATGAGAGCTGCGGGCTCAGCCTGGGGAGATCCTGCTGTGGGAGAACTTTCAGCCAGGATTAAGCCAGATTCACCGTAGTGCCAGGGTGTGCATGGGGCTGTGGCACCTGGAAGGGGCACGCTGCCACCACCTTGTCCTTGTCTCCTTCCCTGGGGGGTCTTCTGCCACCACTGTGCAATGCAAAACCAAGAGGATCCATTCCTGGCTAAAATCACCCTTCCCAGGCAGAAGATGCCCTGACACAGTGCCAAGACCCTCTCACCGCATCCCAAAACTACTAATCTGGGGGGATGTTCCTGATTTTGGGGGTGCAGCCTTTGCTCTCTGGGTCTCTTGTGTCCTGGCAGTTATTACCACGAACAGTGCCCGTGGGTCCGGGGCTGGCTGGAATGGTGGTGGAGAAGGGATGGTCCAAACTCCTTGCTCCATCATTTGCCATGTTCTCCACCTTTGCCATTTTTTCCTCTCCGCGTCTGTGCCCACCTCCTGAACCACCCCTGGGGTGCTTGAGGGCAGCTCCAGCCCATCACTTTAAGCTTTGCCCACCCCAAAGTACAGCCTCTTTAAGCCCTGCCCAGGTTGGGGCAGGGGAGGGATGCAGAGGGGTTAGTGTAGGACAAGCCCTGTATCCAAAGGGAAGAGGTTCCCCTCCCTTTTGCCCCTCCATGATTTTATCGATAGTGTCTTTCCACACAAGGCTGTGACTGGGGACACTGGGAGATGTGGGGGGGTCACATCTTATAGAATCACAGAATGGTCAGAGTTGGAAGGGACCTTAAAGATCATCCAGTTCCAACCCCCTGCCCTGGGCAGGGACACCTCCCACCAGACCAGGTTGCTCAAAGCCCCATCCAGCCTGGCCTTGAACCCCTCCAGGGATGGGGCAGCCACAAGTCTTGCAGTCTCAGACCCCCTGTGAGCATCAATGTTGAGCTTTGAGGGGGGCTTAGCTGCCCATCAGCGTGGAAGTGATGTGCTGTGCCAGACACACCACATCCTTACTGCTGTGTGGCTCCACAACAGGGTTCTCCTGGCTCCTGAGGAGAAACCAGAGAGGACCCATGATGGAGCCACGCTGGCTCCTCCATCAGGTTTTCCCTGCTTTAAATGGCCCCAAACATCCCAGGCCCAGGCTGCAGACACAGAGGCTGTTTACAAACTGACCTTCTCCCCAGGCTGGTCTCTCTGTGTCCAGCATCCTCCTCCTGTGGCTGCTGCACTGGAAAGAACAGCTGAGAAACACATGAACCCACCCGGACCAAAGCCAGTCCAGCCCAGGAGGAGTTGTGCCGAGGGGCTCAGCCCTCCAGCGCAGCACCTTGAGTTGCTTTGGGGTCCTCAAGGGCAGGGTATGAGGCTGGGGTGCAATTTTGGGTACCATCGAACAGCAAGGTGCCTTACAGAGCTGCTCAGCCCTGGAGTGTCTCCTCCCTTGGTAGGACAAGGTGGGGACCAATCCCACGCCCACCTCCTCAGGGCAGAGGGGTGCTGCTCCAGCTCTCCTTTCTCCGTGCAGAAGGAGGCAGGAGCAGGGGTTTCATCCTGCTCAGAGCACGCAGGAACCACATCTCACTCAAAACCGGTCCCTGATGGAGCCTCTGCAGCCAGGTGAGAGTTTAGGGGACCCAGGGCTGTTGAGGTGACAGGGACAGTTCGCTGTTAGGGCACCTGGTGAAACCAGTGCAGGAAGGTTTCAGCCTCAGAGGCTTAGTGGGTCCCTGTCATTAGCAGGATCCATCCCCCAGGAGCCCATCCCTGGTGGAACCATAGGTATCATGAGCAATGATAAGGCATGAATTCCCCTTGGCTTCTCTGGCCACAGCCTGGGGACACTTGGTGCCCCACCAGCCTCTGGTGCTGGCACAGGGACACCAAGGTGTATCCAGCTTCCCGGTCGGTCTATGACCATTCACCTTGATCCAGACATCCTTGAGGAGAGCTTCCCTGCAGGATCTGGAGATACCCAGTGAGGAGCCATCACCTCTTCCTTGAGGAACCCATTTCAATGTATGTGGAGAGTTCAAACTGGGGCTTTCTTTCCCAAACTTCCAGTTTGGCTGGTGTGAGCTCCAGCCCTCCATGTGTACACTTCAATAGTTAAACTCACCCACGCTTTAGCATTGGGTACATTATGAGAAAGCACTTATACATTTGGAGAAAGTCACCTTCATCTTCATTTCTGCAAACAAGAAGATCAGGAGAATTTCCAGACATCGAAGCCATTTCTTCAACTCTTCTTTGCAATCCCTCCTATCTTTCAAGGCCTGTCTGGACACTGTTAGAGGATGCAGCCTTCCCCTCACCAAGCAGAACCTGAGGGAGAACTGCTTTGGACATGGGAAAACAGCTTGGAGCCCATCCAGCCATACCCTTCCCAAGAAGCCTGCAGTGGAGCTGCTGGGAATGTCTCCCAAATCCTGCTTTTGCAAGAGGACCAGACCCATTGCAGGGGGGCACCTTGGAGCTTGACAGCTCCAAACAGAGATCCTACCCAAATATCCTAAAGAAAAAGCTGACAGGAAGTTAGTGTCCTTGCTGTCACCCTTCCAGGTCTTGATGGAAGGAGGACAGATGTGTACCCTCACAAGAGTTCCCAACAACAAACACATCCAACAGGCACCATAGGATTTTGCCAGTGACCCCCAGTCCTTGGAAAGAGGGGAATTCTGGCTCTGGTGGTGTCTGAAGCCCTGGCAGAAATGGGTCCTGACCCCACGTTTCCCAGGTCTGCTCCATCTCACCAGCCAGCACAGAGTAGTCCTTGGCCATAGGGCAACACTCTGGCTCCTCAGCCACACCAGAACCCTGGGATGGGGAGGGGGGGGGCTGCTCCCAGGGGGGCCATTGACCCCCACGTGGAGGGCAGGGGGCATCTTTCAAGCTGCCCCGCATGCTGGGTGGGAGAGAGAAATAAATACCAGAATAAATAAATACAAGTGGCAAAGAGGCCTGAAATGATGCTGTCGTTTGCTGGGAATGAGAGACACAAGTGTAATTTAGGTTTTGATATTATGAAAGTCTCGCTGCTCTAAAACAGCAGGGCACTCAGTGCCTCATTAATAAAGGATAAACTTGGAGTCTATTTACAATGCACTTTTTGGGGTTATTTACACTCCATTATACATATGTAATGCTGCACATATTTACCGCTCTGTTCTGCTGCCGAGAGCAGCCGAGTCGGGAGGGAGAGGGAGTGGGAAGTGCCTGATGCTGTGGAGCCATGACCCCTGCTTTGGCTGATGGCCCCAAAACAGCTCGAGCTGCAGGAGAGCCCCAGGCGAGCTGCTGAGGATGGAGGGGCTGGGACTGAGGGACCCAGTATGGCCCAGTCCCCATCCCCGTGGGACCAGCACCCACCCCCCCCCCCCGAGGCACCCCAAGGCTTTGCCAACTGATGCAGAAAAGGTGAGCTCTTCACATGGGCTGGAGCCCAACACACCAACCAGTGACCACCAGCACCAAACGTGCAAGTCGTGGGCCCCATCACGGAGTGGGGAGCTAGAAAAAAGAGAGCTAAATTATCTGCAACGAATTCAATCAATCATGCCTGTGTTGGCACTAGAGGGTTTTGGTTGTGCAGCCCTCTCCACCACCCAACTTCTACCTCCTTCTGTTGTAGTTTCCCTGCAAATGGCAGCTCCCCGAGGGTCTGCTGGCCTGGGTCCGCCAGCCCCATGGTGGTCACACACCACGTGAGTGCTGTGCCCATGGAAGCTCCAGGAAACAAGGTAGCTCCCATCACAGGATCCAGGGCAAAGACATGGAAGAGGTCACGCTTGGAGAGCACCCCAGGGTGACAGTAATTCATGGGGTGCAGCAAGGGGATGTGAGTGCACCCAAGACCCCTTTGTCCTCAGCAGGGTTTGGGAGGGTGCAAGGGTCCCACAAGAACACTCTCTGCAGCGCCAGCATGCAGGGCTGCCAGCAGGCTGAGGGGGGGCATGGTGGTTGGATGGTCACCCCCAGCTCTGAGCTGCTCCATGGCCTTTCTGCAACTCAGCTTGTGTTTGCATGACCAACGTGGCATGAGATGCAAGACCCCAGGAGCCACCTGTCCTAGGAAGCATGGGGTGACACTGACCTTCCCATCCAGGCACAGCGAGGAGGAGGACAAGCCTCCCATCCCATCCTGCTGCTCCCCATAGCTCCTGGCACTGGGGAAGCACCCACCCATACCAGCATGCTCCAGCTTGCTGTCACCCCAGGCTGCGCTTCCCAGACACCAACTCTGGAGGCAACACTCTTTATTGAACACCTTTTGGAGGCAGCTCCTGGCAAGTCCATGTGCCCAGGAGCAACGTGAACCCCCTGCCCCAGGAGGACCCCATGTCTCTGGGACGGCAACTCTTCTAGCATGGAGGTGATGGCACATCATCGTATCTCATCCTGGCCGTGGTGTGGTGGGATGTCCTGGGAGACACTGAGCTGATCAAGTCTGAGCAAACCAGCCCTCCCCAGCCCCAAGCATCCTCCACCACTCCTGTCCCCCACAGCCCACTCAGGGCGGGGGTCCCACAGTGGGAGGTCATGGCAGGCTGGAGACCGAGCCCTCCAGGGAGCTGCTCTCCAAGGCCCCGTAGCCATCGAGCTTCATCATCCCGATGAGGTGGGCTGGGAGGGAGAGGAAGGAGCGGCGGGTGGCAAAGATGTGGCTGATCTCCATGAAGGTTTTGTTCTTGGTCTCGGGGATGATGAGGTAGACGTACAGGGCCACCAGCAGGCAGATGCCACAGAAAACCAGGTAGCAAAAGGCACCAGCGGACATCTGGGGACAACAAGAGAGCAGGAACGGGGCAGAGCCAGGCACTCCTGAGCTGGGCATGGCATGAGGCAGTGTCCCCTCCTGTCACCCTTCCCTGGGCTGGCTCCGGCCAGCATTGAGCCAAGCCAGGAGCATGAACATCCCTGGGGTTAAGCCTGGATTGGCACCCTGTCCTGAGGGAGCAGAAGGGCCGTGTCCATCCCTCCCTCCTCCCCTGGTCCCTCCGGATCGGTACCTGCAAGAAGGGGAAGATGAAGCCGATGGTGAAGTTGCAAAGCCAGTTGAGGGACCCCCCCACGATGTAGGCAGCTGGGCGGTGCGACTGCGTGAAGAGCTCGGCTGTCATCAGGAAGGGGACACCGGCTGCAGAGAGAGGGGACATGTCAAGGGTAGGGGGGACTGTCTGCCTCAGGCACCCCCGGGGACAACAGGTTCTGCCTGTCTCAGCCCTGCAGCCACAGGGCTGGAGCCCAGCAGGAACCACAGGTCAAAGTGGTGGTGTTGGGAGGGCTGGAGGAGATGGAGCACAAGGATGGGTGGACCAGCCTCCTGTCCTCAGTCTCCCTTTGGGACCCAGATCAGTGGGTGGGTGATGTCCCCCCTGGCATACCACAGTTGCACCTTGCTGGGTGCTGAGGCCAATTTCACAAGTTACTTGGTTGGAAAGTTTCAGACTGAGTCAAAATCAAGGTGGAACGCTTCATCTGGATCCTCATTTTGCAATAATTTGCCTAAATGCCGATATATTAAGCCTCATATAGATCACGGGCATAGAGAAACATGTTTCTGGTGCTGTCCATAATGACCTTTCCAGCCTCCTTTGATCCTTGATGGTTTAGCAAATTCCCTTCTATCGAGCAGCTGAAGGCTTGGACACTGTGGCAGATTTGAACAGGAAAGAAGCAACCACATTTCCAAGCTTCAGAGTTTCCCATGGGACACAGAAATGCCATTTACCAACTGGCTTTTCCCAAGTTTTCCTGTGAAAAAAACCCAGAATAACTGAAACTGATTGTTCAAGCCAACATGGCTACTAAGAACTGGACAAGGGCTGTAGCTTGTCCTCTTGGAAAGACTCAGCTCCTCCTGCCATGTGTCACTGAGCTGGAAGCCCAGGGCACACAGGGGTCTGGCAGGGGACTGTACTGGATGTGGTGACACAGGTTGGGTCCTGCTGGGACCTCTTTATAAGAGGTGCTCCAATGGAAAAGATAAACCAAAAAAAAAGTGTCACTAAGTGAAGGACGAGCAGAACCCCTGATGGACTCTTACTCACAGCTCGCCCAGAATAGAGATATATTTTTTTTTTTGTTTTAAAACTCCTATTCATCATTGTTTGTGAACAATGAGCCATTAAAATCCTAATTAAAGATGTAATTACAGTGAATAAAGTCTGGGCTGAAGATGAATTATGGATCTGTTAACAGCTTTGCTAATACATCAACGGGGTAAAGCAGTCCAGGTGTCACTCTCTGCTGTTCAAGCTCCTTCTCACGCCAGAGCTTGGTTAGGGGCAGGAGGATGAGCAAGAACAAGAGGGAATGGCTTCAAGCTGCAACAGGGGAGGTTTAGACTGGACGTTAGGAAACAATTCTTCACAGAAAGAGTGGTCAGAGACTGGAACAGGCTGCCCAGGGAGGTGGTGGAGTCCCCATCCCTGGATGTGTTTAAGAGTCATTTAGATGTGGTGTTGGGGGATATGGTGTAGGGGAGAACTTTGCAGAGTAGGGTTGATGGTTGGACTTGATGATCCCAATGGTCTTTTCCAACCTGAATGATTCTATGATGCTCACCAGGCACCCTGTGATGGGAACAGGTGGCACCTCCAGAGAGGTCTGGGGAAGGCTACCAGGGCTTCCTCACAGAATCACAGAATCTTCTAGGTTGGAAGGGACCTTAAAGATCATCTTGTCCAACCGTCAACCTGACTGACAAAAATAGACACCCACACAACAAAAAAAAAAGCAACACCATCACTAAACTATATCTCCCAGCACTACATCAACCCGTCTTTGAACACCTCCAGGGATGGTGCCTCAACCACCTCCCTGGGCAGCCCAGTCCAATGGCTGAGAACCCTTTTGGTGAAAGAATTTTTCCTAATATCCAGCCTGAACCTCCCCTGGCGTAACTTGAGGCCATTTCCTCTTGTCCTGTCGCCTGTGACTTGGGAGCAGAGACCGACCCCCCCTGGCTACACCCTCCTTTCAGGGAGTTGGAGAGAACAAGGTCTCCCCTCAGCCTCCTCTTCTCCAGGCTGGAATAACCTCAGCTCCCTCAGCCTCTCCTCACAAGACTTGTGCTCCAGACTCCTCACCATCTTTGTTGCTCTTACTTGTTGCTCTCACAACTTGGCCAAGGAGCGGGGAAGAGGAGGAGGAGGTGGAGTGTTCCCTGAGGACGTACGGTGCTGGAGGGGCTTGTGGCAGGATCACTCATGGGGTGCCACATGATAAACCAGAGTCTGGCCCCGAGGAAGGGGCCGAGGCATCATTCCTGCCTCCTGCCTGCAGATCTGGCTGCTCCCTGCTCCCCCAGGACCCCCATTCCCACCCCACCGCCCCCTGCTCCCTCCAGCCCCAGACCCACCTGGTCCCATGCAGAAGCCGGCGATGATGCCCACCACGCAGACGACACTGACGTAGCGCATCCAGGGCAGGGTGGTCTGCGAGGGGACACGGGGCTGGGGGATGCTGCTGGGGTGGTGGCCCCAAGCTTCATGCCCAGTGTCCCCAGGAATGGTCTTCACACCTGCCCAAGGCTCAGCGGTGGTCCTTGGGGACAAGTGGCCAGGCAGGACACACCGGGGAGATGCAGACAAGTGATGGGTGGTTTAAGGCAAAGCTGGTGAGTGTCAGCCTCAGCAAAGCTCAGCAACTTGTGATGCTGAGACACCCCCGGAGCTGCAGGAGCATCTCCTGGGAGCAGGCAGCAGAGGAAGGAGCCTGCAGACCCTTCAACCCACCCAGCATTTCACAGCCACCTCCCTGGGGACAGCTATTTCTGCAGGAAATCTACCAGAAGTGGCAGGATTTTTCGCACGTAGGACTTTGGGGGTTCTTTTTTCGGTTGTTCTTAGCTCTGAAATTTCATTCCCTTTGACTTTGAAGGGAAAACGTTGCTTGGAAAAGCCAGCTCACCTCTCATTTCCACCCAGGCTCCCTCCCCTGGGGGGATGACACCCATCCCTTTATCACCCAGCCCTCATTAAGGCACCTCAGGCTCCAGCCCTGGCCGTGGTGGTTGCCCGGGGGGGTGGTGGTGGCCCGGGGGGGTGGTGGTGGTGGCCAGACCCTACCTGCAGCATCAGGGAGACGGTGATGCCAGCCGAGCAGAGACCCATGGCGCAGAACCCAGTGATGATGAGGGGCCGCCGGCCCAGCTTCTCTATGGTGAAGCACTGCAATTAGGGAGAGCAGAGACTGACGGGGCGGTGGGTGGGGAGCCCCTCAGGCAGGACAGCGGCACCCCATGAACCCCACATCCAGCTGGAGGTTGGAGGGATGCTCCCGGTGGCATTGGGGGGTTGGGGGCAGCCCTGGCTCAGAGCTCCAGGGTTGGGGGTGTGGGAAGAGCCGGGGTCCCGGGGTGAGCGTGGACCAGGAGGCGGTGGGGTCCCACAGAGTCCTTTTGGGGCGCAGGGTTGGGGCTGGCTGGGGTGGCCTCATTGGCACCAGCGTGGAGTTTGGGCTGTTTGTGGGGCAGGGGAGGCCGGGCGCGGGCGGCGCAGCGGCGGCGGGAGCAGGCAGGGTATTGACAGCAGAACAAATGCCTGTAATTTTATAACCAATCTCGGCACATCCGTGGGGGGCCGTTTGTGGGGCTGCTCCCGAACCAGCCGGCTGCGCGCCGGGGGGCTGCCGGGGGCCGGGGTGGCCCCACGGCCAGGGCAGGGGAGAAGGGGACACCCTTTGGAGGGGCAGGGGGACCCCACTCTGCCGTGGGCTGAGCTATAGGGAGAGGGGAGCAGCTCCCCCCGCAAGTCAGCCCTGGTTTTCTGGGAGAAGCCACCTCCCAGCCCCCCCAATCCATCTCTCTAATTGTCAGGGAGCAGATTTAGTGCTGAGCGGCTCGGGCTGGCCCCGGGTGACACCCGCAGATGGGACGAGGGCCATAAATCTGCCTGGCCCAGTGCTAACTCTCCAGCTAAATGAGGCCTGGCTGGGGGGGGGGCAGGGATGGTAGCCCAGGGCCAGGCCAGTGCTTAGCTGGGAGGGGGGGCAGATGGGGACATGTGGCTCCACTGACAGAGTGACCATGAAATTGGGAGCCAAAAAAACCTGCTTAGCCCCTTCCATCACCCCCAGCCTGCTCCTTGCCTGCCATGTCCCCCCAACCTCCCTGCTACCCACTCACCCCAAAGTTCTCCAACTCCTCCTAAATGCAACCCAACAGCTTCAACCCTTCTCATCCCATCTCCCCACCCTGTTTTCCTGCTAAACCCTCTAACCCCCCAGAAAAGGGGCTGTGCTGTGGCATGGACGGCATCTGGGGTCCATCCAGCACCCTCTGTTTGATGGTGCTTGGAGCTGGGGGACACAGGGTTGGCACCAAGGGGCTGCATCCATCTGTCCATCCGTCCGTCACTCACCCCAATCAGCCCCGCGACAACTTCGAAGGCGCCGGTGCCCACGGTGGTGTAGGGGATCTGGGACACGGGGATCCCGGCGTTCTCAAAGATGGTGTTGGTGTAAAACCAGATCTGCCGAGGAGGGGACTTTGCGTGAGCCAGGTGGATGCAGCCACGGGGCGTGGGGTGCCACGAGTTGCCAGGTCTCAGCTCAGCCTCTGCAGAGCCGGGTCCTGGGGTGAGGAACCCCTCATGGCTTACGGCGTCGATCCCCGAGAGCTGCATGCCAGCGTTCACCACCACCACTGAGAGGGTTTGCCAGCGGACGGAGCGGTCCCGCAGCAACTGCCAGACAGACACCATCTCCACGGAGGAGAGAGACCGCTGCTCCTCCTTCATCTCCTCGATCACATCCTGCACGTCGGGTGTCCCCAGGAACCGGTGCAGCGCTGTGGAGGGAGCAGAGGTCACAGGCACACGTCTGGCCATGTTGAGTTTGGAGAAGAGGAGTCTGAGGGGAGACCTCATTGCCCTCTACTCCCTGAAAGGAGGGTGTAGAGAGGTGGGGGTTGGCCTCTTCTTCCAAGGGAATAATGCCAGGAGCAGAGGAAATGGGTCTGAAGTTGGGGCAGGGGAGGTTTAGATGAGATATTGGGAAGAATGACTTTGCTGAGAGGGTGGTCAGGCCCTGGAACAGCCTGCCCAGGGAGGTGGTGGAGTCACCATCCCTGGAGGGATCTAAGAAACACGTAGATGTGGCACTTCAGGGCATGCTCTAGTGCCCAAGATTGTTGGTTTTGTCCCTCTGTGGGTGGGTGTGGGGGGTGTGTGTGTTGGTTGGGGGTTGTGTTGGGAATGTTGTGTTTTTGTTTGTTTTTTTTTTTTGTAGTTGGACTCGATGATCTCAAAGGTCCCTTCCAACCATGAAGATTCTGTCTCCCCATCACAGGGTGGGTGCTCATAGGTATGCCACAGGGCAGGGGCTTGGCTCAGCCTCCCCAGGGGACCTCCCCAAACCCCAGGGGCTGAGCATCCATAGGAGCAGCGGAGATGCCCAACACCACGGTGATGGGCAGCCTGGAAATGCTACGGCGCAACTGGGTGGGAGTGAAGGGCTGACCCATAAGGACTACGGTGAGCTGTGGGGTCTGGGTGTGGAAGGGTGCTGTGAGGATGCACCTTGGTCTCAGGACACCCTGGACAAGCACCCAGCACCTCCTGGAGCCAGCCCCCACCCCAGGACACCCCCTCACCCACGGTGGCCCCGCAGACATCGTTCCTCTCTATCAGCAGGTACCGTGGGCTCTCAGGGAAGCAGTGCAGCAGCAGGAGCTGGAGGGAGGCAGGAACAACCACCACCGACAGGAAAAGAGGCCAGAACCTGTCCTGAGAGAAGTCACAAAGGGACATGTCACAGGAAGGACGAAGGAAGGGCCAGAGCTCACGTGGGCTGGGGTACCCTGCTCACCTCCCCCAGCAGCTCCGGGAGGCCCAGGACCTGTGCAAAGAAAACCCCCAGGCAGATGAAGATGCTGGGCATGAGGCCCAGGAACCCCCGCAGGTTCTTGGGGGCAATTTCTCCCAGGTAGAGGGGCACCACGCTGAGACAGATACCTGGGGGTGACAGAGAGGACCAGGATGGGAGAGGCAGCCAGGAGGTGGGTGCCCAGCCAGACCCTCAGTGCACCTCCTCCCATGCCCAGCACCATCAACAGTGGGTACCCATGGCCAGGGAGGTGGCCCTGTCTGCCCCATGGAGGCCCCCACCACAGAGCCTGTGACCATGAGGGTTATGAAACCTTCTCCAGCCCCCTGGGAATGGGCTGTAAGGGACCAAATTGTGAGGAAGAGGCCATGCACAGCCCTGCACCACCTACCTGAGTGGACCCCTGTGATGGAGCGGCCGATGATCACCATCTCGGGGGACCCCAGCCCCCGGCTGAAGCCCATGAAGCCACCAGCCAGGAGGACGAGGAGAGCACTGCGGCTCAGCGTGCCGTTCCTAGCAGGGCACAAGCAGCAGGGCAGCCCCCTTGGGCCCCATCCCACCCCTCAGCACACCCTGTCCCATCCCACCCCCTTACCTGCCGTACCGCTCCACCAGCACCCCCACCAGCAAGGAGCCCACCAGCCCACCCAGGGCAAAGATGGAGACAGTCAGGGAGTAGAGGAGGGTCAGGGGGCCAGAGGCCAGCCCGTGCCCGTACCGCTGGGACCACGTGGCGTTGTAGAAAGCCTTTATGTGCTGTGGGGCAGAGAGACACATGGGCACCAGATGCATTGGGAGAAAGGGGAAAACAAGCCCCATAGGGGAAAGTACCATGGGTTGAACAGCATTGCAGGAGATGCAGGGCAGGATGTGACTGGGGATGACTGGGATGTGCTGGTCTGGTTGCTCAGCCAGCCTCAGCACCAGAGGGGTTTAAGGACAATTTGGAGATGCCACAGGCTGTGGGGAGCTTTCCCAGGACCAGTTTGGGGGGTGGGATACAAGAATACAGGCTCCCATGTCCCTTTTGTGCCATCCCTCCCCTCGGACTGCTCTCTGGGGGTGGCTGCCCCAGGGAAATGCCAGCATTTTGGTGTGGGGCTGCCGGGTAGCCATCCCTCCCCCCTCCCAGGGAGGGATGCAGAGCCCTTCCCCTGCTCCTGGAGAAGCTGGACCTCCCTCCCCTTACCACCGCCGGCGAGTTGACCACGGCCAGGTTGTAGCCATAGAGCATGGAGGAGCTGAAGGACACCAGGAGGGTGACTGAGAGCAGGGGGAAGGTGAGGTGCTGGGAGAGAGGAGGAGGGATCACCACAGCTGAGGTCACCCCTGGCATGAGCTGCGTTGGGTCTCTGCCCCTTTCTAGGAGGGACGTCCCCATCCCAGAGCAAAGACCCCAAACGTGCTTCGTGCCACCACCCAGCCCTGCCCGATCCGGCTCCCCCGTGGCTGGTCTCGTGGCTGTGGCACGAGTCTTTGCCCTGGCACTGGCCCAGTTCAGGCTGCTTGTCCCAGCTGCCTGTCCCCCTTGCACCTCTGCCCTGGGGCTGGGAGGAGACATCGAGAAGAAGGGGGCAGGTGAAGGAGGGAGAGACCCCCGTCCCCCCCTGTGGATGAGGGCACCCCAATGGCACTGCTGGGAGCTGACCCCCCCGACACTGGGAGGTCCAGAGCTGCTGAAAGATGTGGTTCCCCCCGGTGGGTCCCCCCAAAATGCCACATGCACCCACCTCCTAAACCCTTGTCCCTGCCAGTGCCTCCATCACCCGCTCCGAGGGGGGCACCTCGCTGTGGGGGGAGCTGGTGGCTGTGGGGGGACACCCTGCATCCCTGACCCATCCTGGAGGGTTGAGCCCACCCCACCCCAGCATCAGGGTGCCCAGCAGGACCCAAGAGGCAATTAGGGTCACCCCCCACCCCGGCCCCAGCCGCAGGGGCACCCCTGGGTGCTGCACTGGGCCGTCTCCCCTGGGGAAATGAGCATCCCACAGCCCCACA